CTGCTGTCGACAAGCGTCGCTCCTCCTCCTCGCGGGAGGTGTCCGACCACAAGGCCGACGTGCTCCACCACGTGGCGCAGCACCGCGCGGCCTGGCTGCCGCAGCTGGCCGCGCGCGCGGGCGGCGCGGCCGCCGTCGGGCCCCTGCGGCCGGAGGCCGTGCTGCTCGTCGACGACGAGAGGGCCAACTTCAGGCACTACAAGGGCGACGGTGCCGTCACCGAGGCTCTCCGCTGCTGCAAGGTGGAGCCATGAAGCATCGAGCCCCGGGTCGACTATACAGAGAACCGATGTGCCCCAAGAGTGTTTTTTCGCATGTCTACAGGAGTTGTGCGTATCCGTCGTAGGTCCGAGAAGAAACAGTTTAAGAAACATGCTCGGGCACATCAATTCTGTAGTCGATCTCCTGCTCGAGTACTTGAGGGGAACGGGTCCTGGTGGGCCCTCCGAGGGTCCCAGGAGCGCCAGCCAGAGCGCCCCGCGATGTCGGGCCGGCCCCGGGGTCCAGGGACGGTCTCTTTTCCTGGACCCGTCTGCCTCGTGCCAGTGAGGTGCCCCGCTACGACGACCTCTACCGAGATTGCGGGCCGCTGAACCAGCTGGGTGGGCTCGGCGCCCACAGCGACGCCGATTACGACTCGGTGCGGCGCTTCGTCGAGGAGCCGTGGAACCCGTCGTCGTCGTCTTACCGTCGTCGCCGTCGCCGCTGCCGTCGCCGTAGCCGTCGCCGTCTCCGGCGTCGCCGTCGTCGTCGCCGTCGTCGTTCGTCGAGGAGCCGTGGGAGTTCCCCTCCCTGGACACGCAGTTGTCCTTCGTGGCGGCCGACCTGTCGGACAACCACGTCGTTGCCGTGGAGTCCGAGGATAGGGCGGCGCGTTCTATACAGATCCACCGCCGTTGGCCGGGCCTAGGGCCCAGGAGCAGTGCACACGCCCCCCTGGCCAAGCCAGGGGGGATACACTCCGCTCTCCAGTTCAGGATGGGCCTGGCCAGCGGCGGCGGAGCTGTAGAGTCGGACCGAGGTCTGAGATCGAGGTCGGTTCGGGGAGGGTACCCTTGTGTTCCTCGTGCTTGTTGGATGGGACCGTGCATCCTGAGGGGGGTACCCTTGGATGCTCTGTGTGTTCTGGCCGGCGGAGGGCCTCATCTTCTTGAAGAATGTTCTTCTGTCTCAGGTTTGGTTGTGTTGATCTCGTGGCCCTACAGGAGCTGGCCCTGCTGCCCCGGGAGCGCGGCCCGAAGACCCTCTTCGGGCGGCGGGCCCCCGTCCGGCGGCCAACCCGGGGCTCCTCGGGCCTCCTGGGCCCCGCGGCGTGCAGCCTCGCGGGCTGCCTGCGGTGGGCGCGCGGGGTCTGCGCCGCCGGCTGCGGCGCGCTGGCGCCCTAGCTCGGTGGCTCCCAGGCGGGGTCCTGAGGTGCGGGCCGGGGCCCTCAGCACACGCGGGTGTCCCCTCCTTCAAGCAGTGGCGAAGCGTCCTGGCTCGCTTGTAGCCCTACCAAGCAATATTCTAAGAACCTTTTGTGGTTCCCACGGAATGTTCTTGGAACAGTTCTGGCGGAGTCTGTCTTGTTTTATCACATCGGGTTTATGTTCTAAGAACATCGTTTTTGTTCTTAGGACACTTTTGGGTTCTTAGAACATTCCGTGGTAGGACTATAAGAATGCCGGGACGGTCGGTCCCTGCGCAATTCCTGTCCTCGGGGACCCCCTCCCTCAGGACCACCCCGCCTTTGAACCACCGACTGGCCGCCCCCCCTCCGCGCGCCGCCCGCCCGCCGTTCGGTGTGAAGAGCGCTGCCGCGGCCGCCGCCCGCCGCGAGGGGCGGCAGCTGGCCCTCGCGGGCGGGGGCCGCGCGGTGGCGGCGCCCTCTCGCGGCCCTCGCTGGACCCAGACCCCCTCGGGTCATGCAAAACAGATCACAAGGGAAGGTTTTTGGGGATTTTCGGCCTAAGGGGCCCTCGCCGTGCCTCGGGACGGTCATAAAACGACTCGGGATGAGACTTCTGGGGATCGCACGGCCTGAAGAAGTCATCACGCTGGAGGTCTGTGTCTCTGGATGGGCGGGGCCCGCTGGCCGGTCACCACAGGGCTCCCCGCGCGACAGGGCAGTCTCTGGTGGGCGCGACGGGGCATCCGCGCCAAGCGCGATGGGCACCGAGTCGGCGCTGCGCGGAGCCGCCACGCACGTGCAGGCACCAGGCCTGGCCACCTGAACTTGCGCGCGGAGCTCGTCCAGGCTGCTGCGTTCGAGGGTGGCCATCATCGAGCAGCGCTTCCTTGGCGCCGCCGCCATTGGGGAAACCAAAAGGTACCGATGCCGCTACTCCCTGGACCTCTCCCAGGGGGCGTTCTGACAAGAACGTTGATGCGAATCCAGCGATGGCGACGAGGACCTCCCCAGAGGCCCCGAAAGGCGAAAACGAGAAAGAGGTAGCGTCTTGGGTACTTTTTCCTCCCCCCCAATCATACGAGATGGACGGGGCGCTGAGACCGCTGAGCGCCCGGGTAAATTCTAGAGGAGTTCAAGGGTGCGGCGGACGTTGGCGGCTCGCAGAAAGGGGCGGCGGAAAAGACTCTGCTTCCAGGGCGTCTACGGAGGCATGGACCTTGGGCGCCTTGCTGCGTCGGTTTGCGCGCGTTTGGAGCCACGAGGGTATAGATATTGGTCTGGTTCGTCCCTGGCTGGCTGGTATCCCTAGTCAATCAGCTGTTTCCTTGGTCTGCTTCATCTGGGTACATGTCTTGAATAGAGCACTGCGGTCGCACACTTCCCGCCTCCCTCTTACCGTCGTCCTGCCTAGATGCTCGGCGAGGGGCTGCGATCTGCAAAACTGTCGCCACTTTCGAGGGCTGCTGAGGGGTCCAGTGGAGTGACGTGTTACGCAGTCCCAAATTAGACCTCACCACCCTTGTGGGGCTGCGATCTGCGAAATTATCTCCACTTTCGAGGGCTGCTGCGGGGTCGAGCGGAGTGACGTGCTACGCAGTCCCAGCTTAGACCTCGCCATCCCTGTGGGGCTGCGATCTGCGAAACCATCGCCACTCTCAAGGGCTGCTGGTGGGTCCAGCGGAGTGACGTGCTACGCAGACTCAAATTCGACCTCACCGTCCTTCTGGGGCTGCGGTCTGCGAAATCGTCGCCACTTTCGAGGGCAACCCGGGTCCAGCGGAGTGACGACCCACGCAGATTCAGATTAGACCTCGCCATCCTTGCGGAACTGCGATCGACAAAATTGTCGCCACCTTTTAAGGGCTGCTGGGGGGTCCGGCTGGGCGCTGTCGCGGGCCGCCCTCAGATCTGGCGGCGCGCCTTCGAGCGTTTAGCTCCCGCACTGGAAAGTGGAGGAAGGAAGCAGGGAAGCTGGCGGGCGAGCTAGGCCTCGTCCGCTTCTTGCAACAGCGACACGCAGGTTTAAGAATGTTGTCAAGCGCCGCGGCGGCATGGCGCATGCAACGCTGCATCTTCAGCGTACTACCGACAAGAGCGACGCTCTTCGGTCTCCTCCCGTCACTTTCGTCGTCGTCTTCTGCCCCTCTGCCACCTTCCCTCTGCTGCTGCCGCGCTGACGGGTCGCCCCCCGCGCGTCCTTGATGTGATTTTCATTTCCGCCCTCATGTCCCCCTCAAGCCTAGGCATTCGCTCCTCGTCATTTTGTTGTTGGCTGGTGAATCGTGCCCCGTGGGCGCGCCCCATGTAATTTGCAACATATAACGGGCCATGCGTTGTCATTGTCCTGGCATGTTTGGGCCAACTCGTCTTGTCATTTGATGCAAATGGGTGGGGTATGTCGCAGGGTAATGTTTTTGGTCGCGGTGGTCATTTTGATTTGGTTGCCGTGACTGGTCTGGCAGGGTTGGCTCGAGTGAATGCAGCTGGAGTGCTTCTTCGCGGGATCAAAGGAGCAGTAAGAGAAAAAAACGAGAGCGAGAGAGAGAGAGAGAGAAACGGCGAAAGAGAGAGAGAGAGAGAGCGAGACAGAGAGAGAGAGAGAGAGCGAGACAGAGAGAGAGAGATGCATACCTCTCTCTCTCTCCACACATATATATATACACATATAACGACAGAACAATATACACAAGTGAACACGCCGAGAAACATGACGAGGAATTTTTCCAACATTCGAACGAGGATTGTGAGGCAAAGCTCGACGGTGCAGTTCAGGAGGGGCAAATCAACACAGGCATACATAACGTCGACTGCCAGGAAAATCTGGGAAGAGGAGGAGAAGACGAACACCCATGGCGTACATAGACAAAGTATACATATATCTGCATATGTTGATGTATACTAGTTACATATACGTATTGACAGGTCGACAGAATCGGGATCCTTGGATTTGTGTATGTTTCTTTGTGTCCCCTTTGGCGCTGTTAGCAGAGAGCGGAGGGGGAGGCGCAGGACAAATGGCCGTGAGTGCTAACGAGGGGACGGGAGCGGGAGCAGCGGCGGCATCATCACAGGCACCGGCGGCAGGAGCAAGGCACCGAGAAGGAACGCGGGAATAAGAGGGAGGAGGAGGGGGGACGGGGAAGGGGGAGGAGGAGGAGGAGGAGGAGGAGGAGGAGGAGGTGGAGGAGGAGGGGAATGAGGAGGAGGAGGAGGAAAATAATGGAAAATAATAAGGAGGAGGGGGAGGAGGAGGGGGAGGGGAGGGAAGGAGGAAAAGGAGAAGGGGGAGGGGATGGGGGGGAGGAGCGGGAATTTTGGAGTTGCGCTCTGATTCGCCGAGGAGACGGTCAGCTTAGTGCGGCACCCACTAGCTACTGGCAGAAACACGCGGTATCTAGCAGCAGGGGCGCCAAAAGGTGTAAATGCTTTGCCCGCCCATGCACGTACCACCCCCCACCCTCATCGTCATAAAGCGCACATGGCGCAACACAGCGCTGCAGGAGAAGGGAGGACGCAAGAGGACGCATAATTATCATGAGGGGGGCGGGTGAGATACCCTGCGAAGGGCTGAAAAGGCAGCTAAGTGGGCGGGTGCGAAGCAGGGGCCCGCGGGATTGCACGATTGTCGCAAGCTCGTCCTGTGCCCCCTGCCTGCATCAACGCCGCATTGCGAACCGCATCCCCCCAACAAGCCTAAACCCACCCGCGGTCCCGACCATAGTAAGCTGAAAACGCAAGGCAGGGAATCGGGGAAGGTGAGACGGCCTGACGGTCCCGATGCGCGGGCGCGGGGCGGCGCGCATGTCTGTGCCCGCCCAGAGAGAGGTTCGCCGTACCTGGTACGGCGCCCGAAACCTGTCGAACTGGGGCGGCAGCTATAGACCGAGCGGAGAAAGAAGCACCAGGAGGCAAGGGGAGGCAGATCAAAGTGGGGAGCGGGTGAGATGACCTGCGGACGGCCGAAACGGCAGCCGAGCGGGCGGGCGCGAGGCAGGTGCCAGAGGGAGGGGGTGCACGATTTCGCACGGCCGACTTGTGGCCCATGCCTGATCCAACGCCGCGGTACGAAACTCGTCCCCGCCAGCAAACAGAAACCCTCCCTCGGACCCGACCATCGTAAGCCGAAGCGCTAGGAAGGGAAACGGGGAAGGTGAAACGGCCTTGTGTGCCCGATACGCGGGCGCGGGTTTGCGCGCGTGGCTGCCCGCCCCGAGAATGGTTCGCCGTGCCTGGTGCGGCGCCCGAAAACTATCGAACTGGGGCGGCAACTGGAGATCAAACGGAGAAAGAAGCATTAAGAACGCAATCGGGGCCAACGAAGGCAGCAACAGCATGGTCCTGAGCCATCATGCCGTAGAGCCACCCGTATTGCTTGCCACCAGAGAGCGAGCAGTCACACAGAAAGGTGGGTGAGAGAGGCGGCACAGAAGATGACAGCCATTTGCTTTTCTGCGCCCCCACTTGTCCGCTCCAATCACGATAAATGACAGGCAGCGGCCTATCCGAACAAGCCTCTGCCACAATTAAGATCAAGATTCCAAGGGGCTACTTCGTGCAAACGAGCCTGTTTCGCGTCCTTGAGTTTAGCAGCTCTTCTGACACGCGACTGCGCGCGATGTTGCGCAATTCGCTCCAAAACTTCAGGTGCTAACGGCGCAGGGATGGGCGGGCGGGGAGGATTTGTTGCCCTCTGCGCGTCACCAAGAAAGGCGCGTGCGTCTACATACTCCTGCTCCTCGTCCGCCTCAGGTGGGCCAGTGGGTCTAACCTCCGCCGTGTCCTCTCGAACCTGCGGGGTGGAAAGGGTAACTTGCTCTGATGTCGGGGGGGCGCGTAGCGGTCGAAAGCGATCGAACTCGGGGTCGCGTCGGACACCGCGTGTGCGCCGTGAGACAAAGTCAGGAGCCCACCCCTCGTCAGTGCCAGAATTGGGATCCCAGGAGACAAGGAACCGCAGTGGCCCATCACGTGCACTACCGCCCTCCCCCACGTCAT